CAAGCCTCCGTGGTGGCGTTCGGAGGCCACTGTGGGGCCCTTATAGGTCTTCATGATGCTTGAGGGCCCTCGAGCCCATCGTGGGGACCTCAGATGCCAGCGCGGCCCGTGAAGCCAACGTGGGAGCCCTCAAAGGATGTCGTGAGGGACCCTGGAGCCAATAATGGGGCCCACCGAGGCCGTCGTGACTGTGAGGGCTCTCAGAGTCAGATGCCGCCCAAAAAGTCGCTGTGTGGGTCGAGAGACCGGCATGGGGAGCACCCGACCGTACTGGACTCTCAATAGTCCCAGATCGGCTTTTGTCTCTCATCACAAGCATGTAATAAATGATGTGACGGGCTGCTTGAAGGACAGCCTGCGGATTTAGGGGGGCGTCTTTCCCCATCAGGACAGGGGGCATCTTACCCCAAGGTACCGAAGTAACATTACATCAGTACAATTTGTTAGCCATAAAACTACACCCTGAAACAAACTGTTTGGGACACAGTACACGCATGTTAATGTATCACGACTATAGCAAGGGACGCAAAAATTATCTACCTTCTTTGATATTTACAATGTTTTGACACCAAAACATTTTTTAAAAGCAGCAACTAAAAAACATGCATTCACCAGCCAGCCGTTGCCCAACTGAGCTTCGCAAATTTTTGTGCGGTTAACAAGGCAGGCTTCCGCTTTACGCTAAGAACATTAATGTCCGGGTTCGATTCTTTGTTTCGCCGCTAGAGGGGGTGGGGCGTCTTTCCCACCCTGGGCATCTTACCCCACTCTCCCCTACCCACAACTTAAAAAAAAAAATCCACCACCTACGTCTTTGCTGTATGATTTTTACTTCGATTTCCATGTGACGTCACAGTACTTGCATGTCCGGTGGTGTCCGGTGTGCTCAACCGGACACCACCGGATATGGAACGGATATTAACGGATGACAAACGGACGTCCAACGGAAACAAACGGACATCACCGGACGCTGACATTTCTCGTCCGTTTCTCGTCCGTTGGTCCAATCCGGTGAAGTGTGACCGAGGCTTTAAATTTTATGCAATAATCGTGAAAGACGTCTGCCTCTGTCAATTACAGATAGTGTCGGCGGCTTCCAGCCGATCGAGGTCTGCGAAAGTTCTTGCAAGCTTTCCGATCGATCGAGTGGTTGCAGTCACATAAGCATCTGCCGCAGACCAGTTGGTTACAAGAAAAACTACGAATAAAGAACAGACCAGTTCAGACGGTCGGGTATAAGCCTGCGAGTGATCTCAGACGGCTCGTCGATATACACGATACCTAAGCCAGAGTCAAACTAGAGGTAGTGTCGGCGACTTCCAGCCGATTGAAGTCTGCAAGCGATATTATGCGTCTTCACGACAGGTATGATGCTTGCAGTCACACATCTGACCAGTCGGACGAATTTCGAACCGTTCACAGTCAGCGTTCCAAAAATTTCTCATTTGGGCTGAAGATGACACTCAAGAATAAGAATGGATAATTTTCCACTCTCACATTTTGGGTGGCTATAATTTTCCACTCAGACACCAAAGAGAAATCTGAAGTTTGGGACACTGTTCACCAAAAGCGTACATAACTTAGTTTTTTTAGAAAAAATATTAGGGTTGCACAGTGCGCTTGGGCTTTTGAGTCAATTCTTTTCCATGCGACACCAATAGGCTTAATGATCATTTTCAGAGATGTTGGGGCTGCTGCTACAACCCCCTTTTGGGGTTCCTGCTGCAACCCACTTTACTAAAGTTGCACTCGTGCTGTTCACAATTCCTCCCGATCCACCCGACAACGCCCGATCCCGTCCGACCGCTTCCGAATCTCCGACTAGTCGGCGAGCGTTCCACTCAGGGCTCGCTGATTTTGAACATCCGACCGGCCGTAAGTTATTGTCCAAAGTTTTATCTGCGTCAATATTTTGTGCATACTTGTGCGATTTTATGTGCACCGCCGGAGTATCACCACTGAGAGGGTTGTGGATCCCTACTCTCTAGGTACTCTCTCCTCTCTCTGAAGAGTCGGGGGAGGGGTCGAGGCCCGTTTTTTTTTTACATTTTATATGCCATCCTGACGTTTTTTTTTTGCAGAATAAAGTGGTCGAAACTCGAAATCTGGGGAGAAATCGAAAATTGGGGGGGGGGGGCTTTGGCTACGAAGGTCAGTCCATGTCGCTGCCCAAGTGGCCCACCAGTCAAAATTCCTTAGCCGAGGCCCTGCGGGCCGACATGCCGGGTCTGATGGATGAATCCTGCGGGCTGCGAGTATGTCAAATTAAAAAGATTTTCTATTCGTTGTTTCTATGATACAGTTTTATCGTTGTAAGTCACTCGGCTCAGCTCAGTCTCTTTAGCCCTCGCCCGCACATGGGGGGTGCCCCCCCCCCAGGTAGTCTTTCTGCTCTGCACTCGACATTTTTAGAGCTAGAAGGCTGTTTTTTCGTATAGCTGCTCCTCTATCCTTTCTTGATGTCCACTGAAAATTTCAAGTTTCTGTGATTTTTGTTTTCGGAGATATGACCTTGTTTTTCAGGTCATGTCATGACCCAAATGGCCAATTCTCAACATCTTGCGTTTGCTATGGGCCTTGTGAGCTTTTGACACCTTGATTTCGGCCTTTTTTGCCAGTCTTACCTCCCACCTAGACCTATCATGGAACATGTTGTTCGACGATGTACAGGTGTCAAGGTCAGGGTCAAGGTCAACCTAGGTCATCTCAGATAATTGCGTTTTAGGCAAGCCGAATTTACTTTTTGTGAAGTTTTTTGACTGCATTTTTGGTAAGAGCTTCTCAGATCATGATTTCATGTAATGGACACATAAACAATCGGTGCACACATCAGTATACACACAGACACACACAGACATACAAACACATAAAATTGACCTTGACCTAGCTTGACCTGAAATGACCTCAGCAGCAAAAATCTGGTCGGGCAGTGTGACAAAGAGGCTCTAGCTGGCTTGGCACCAGAAAACGGCATCGTCATCGGTATGTGATAAGCAGTGCACTTGATATCCAACGGTGACCCAAAACAGCAACATTGTTTAGTTTGACCTAACCTGGAAGGTCAATGACTGACCTGAAAAGGTAAAACTGAGTATCATTGGATTCGTCTCTTCCCAAATAATCTTTTTGATCTTTACCGCTAAGCTCTATCTCCAACAGGAACGAAATGGCGCGGGGGGTGGAACCCCCCCCCCCCCCATGTGCGTTCTAGGATGGGAAAATGGCATGTGCGGGCGAGGGTGAATAATACCTATGTAGGGAAGAGTGGGGCAAAGCGCCCTGGGCGGGTAAAACGGCCACCCCTCTAATTTCTGAAATGCTCGACTTTTCAAAGAATCCTTGATAGCCATTTTCAAGAACACACGGGAATCTGCTCGTAGGTACTCCCTTTTTTGGTTCCACAAGTGGGTTGTTCTGAACGTAATATAGGAAGATAGGTATATTTCGATTTTTTTGGAATTAGATATATGCTTTCTTTTTACTAAAACTTTGTGTGATAGAGTTTAACCCGCGAGTTGCTGGGGGGACGTTAAACGCCCCCACTTTTTTCGTCGGGCCATAGCATAAAAACGGCGCATCGCAGGCGCGTAAAATTTTGGATACCTGTAGGAAATTGATTGAAGTTCATTGTGACAAAGTTTCAAAAAAATCAGTCGGAAATTTTTTGAGATATTGAGGTTTTAGTGACGTCATGTTTTCTGAGTTTTCGAACAAAAATGGCATATGTTCAAAAAATCATATAAAATCACAGAATAGACATACAGACATGCCGCAAACGCCATTAGACTGCCAATACCATGAACAATCAAATGGCTATCTTCGATTATTGATTATCGTTCCGCATTTTCCAAAATCTTGAACTGAATGTTGGCAATTTCTCGTGACTACTTCACGAGTCACGACCATGATACATGCATTTCTTTAATTGAACTTTTTGAGCCAAACACGTACGCATATGATAAAATGAATGTCACCATCGTGTTCTACGCCCCAAATTTCCCATAAAACATGTGTCACAGGCTGCGAATATCAGTTTTGATTTTCGGGATATTTGCCTACCCGGTTGACCTGACCTTGACCCTGACCTATGCTTGACTGACCCCTACATGGAGCTGACACTCTTGTAGGCCTTATATGATGGATTGTGCACCGTTTTGACAGAGTTAATGAAGAGAGGCGCCCATTGCGAAGTCTTGAAGTCCATGCTAGTGAAAGCCCGATTTCAGGTGTTTGACCTGACCTTCACCCGACCTGTAACCTCAAAATTCAACTTTAAAGTACTCATCTGAAGCGTCTCGTCGCGTTCTTTCGTTTGCCGCCTCGTGCGTTTCGCTGCGCCTATTGGTTCTCGAGTTATTGGCTGGGGGCGTTTAACGCCCCCCCCCCCCCAGCAAACGGTGGGGGGCGAAATACCCCAGCAACTGCCGGGTTAAAGAAGGCAATGAAGTTTTGTCATGTCGAACCTATGTATTTAAGCTATGCTTTGAGCGTTTATTTGTTTGTGACACAATCGTGACAGGCTTGATTTTAGTGGTCTTTTTTTAATGTGCTGTTGGGGTAATACGCCCACTTTAATGTGGGGCAAAGCGTCCATCCTGGGCCAATGAGATTTATACAACACGGGCAATTCCGAGCATTTTGGGCTCAAAGTGAGTGGCGGGATACGTTTCTAATGCTCAGAAAATTCTTATCAAATATGCAATTTTCTGGTTAGTATCGTCTGGAAGGATTTATGCAGCAGGTATCTCCATGTTCTGCTGTAGGATCTCCATGTTCTCCAATGTCTCTGTTTTCTCCAGTGTGTCCATGGTTTTCTCCGTGAGTTGTCGTCCCGTCGCGGGTGCTGCGTTTCCAAGGCTGCCGCGTCTGTTACCAATCAGTCGGAATGAGCTAAACACTCGGGTTTCCGCTCCCCCCCCCCCCCGTCCCCCGGCGGGGGGGGGGGGTTCGTTTTGACCGTCACCGCCGAGTGCCGGCTCCCAGTCGGCGTGGCTCCCAGTCGGGACCGAGCAGCTGCCGAGTCGCCCTGCCGCCGCGCCCCGGAAAGGTAGGTGCCCGTCTATCACAGCCTTATTAGAGCATCTCAGTTTGATGTCTGAAAAGTCAGAAGCTTATACAGCTTTTCATGTTTCTATTTTTCAATTGATTTTGTAGGGTTACGATGGCTTCTAACTGAAATGCCAGTTCTGGATGTTGCACATACGATTAGAATATCGGATTTCTGAGCTCGAACGGCAGCTCTAAGGACAAATTTGGGCGAAAACATCACATTGTTTCCCATGAGCATTCCAGTGACATTCCATGGACATTTGATGTCCATGGAATGTCCATGAGGGAAAATCAACTGCCTTATTTTTTCACTAAAACGCGACGTAATGGCCAATTATACATAAATGACTTCATATACGATCAACCTTGACCACCGTGATGTCTTGTTTGCTATTGGACAACTGTAAGGTGCTGTGAAATCACCAAAGGTCGCCAACCGCTTTTAACTAATAACTCCTTACAGAAACGAAATCAGACTGACTCAGACTCCAGCTTTTCAAATCTACTCTGACTCCGACTCGACGACTCAGGTCAGAACTGTCAACTCCGACCGACTTCGTGACTCCGACTCCGGAGCCCTACTGGCAGCTCTATCACGCCAGGGAGCTGCAAATCGATGTTCCGTGGCGGTTTAACTATGGCATTAAAGTCGATAATGCGGCTGAATCGCACTATGAAACACCCTTATTGGCTGCTAGAAACACGAAAGTTAGCGCATCACCACTGGAAAACGTGACAAGTTATCGATTAATTCAGACCTATCCGTGCTTCTATCCTCAGGATACTGAAATCCTTCTCCTCCAAGCCGCAACCCCCTTCCGGGCTGGACAGGCAACTTTATCTCATGCGGGCTGCTCCCTTGGAGCGGCACCGCTGCCCCTGAGGGAGCGCACCCCGTAGCCGGGTGCAGTGAGTGCCTTGGGGCTGGGTGGCCTGTCCTCTGGACGGGCTCAGCCCCGGCGACTCACTAGGGTGCCTGCCCAGACCAATGTCTCCCCCTAATTCCTATCATCCTTCCGGCTCTGCAATGGTCTTGTCGACCGAAAGGGCCTAACCCAACAAAACAAACAAAACAAACAAAATCGATTAATTGGCCCTGGATTTGGATAAATAACATGGTGATGATCATATTAGCACACATTTACATTATCATCTATCTCAAGGCTGCCCTTCAGGCGGCTCTAAACTATGGCAATTTCCCTATCTTCAACATGTAAATGCCCTCGGGCGTCCTCGTGGTGACGTAGGCATGGGAGTGCCAGGTTGGTAGGAACTAGACTTCGACGCCCCCTGGAGTGACCCGCCCACTCCGTTCAGCTCGGTTGGACCGGGTCTAGTCAGTTTACGTCCGCTGGCTTTGCCCTTCCTTTGCTGCTCAGCAGGGAGAGAGTCAGGGCTGGGAGGGAGGTCCGCTGCCAACTGCTCTGCAGTGTAAAGACGAATTCTGCAAGCTGTATGTCCATCTGAAATCGGTCGGTACCCAATCTCGGCCCCCGCTCAACAGATCTGGCAGCTCGGTACATACACAATCTCGGCCCCCGCTCAACAGATCTGGCAGCTCGGTACATACACAATCTCGGCCCCCGCTCAATAGATCTGGCAGCTCGGTACATACACAATGTCGGCCCCCGCTCAACAGATCTGGCAGCTCGGTACATACACAATCTCGGCCCCCGCTCAACAGATCTGGCAGCTCGGTACATACACAATCTCGGCCCCGCTCAACAGATCTGGCAGCTCGGTACATACACAATCTCGGCCCCCGCTCAACAGATCTGGCAGCTCGGTACATACCCAATCTCAGCCCCCGCTCAACAGATCTGGCAGCTCGGTACATACACAATCTCGGCCCCCGCTCAACAGATCTGGCAGCTCGGTACATACCCAATCTCGGCCCCGGTCCACAGATCTGGCAGCTCGGACGTGCGTTGGGATGGGCAGTTTTTCGCTTGGACTTTCCGCGCTGAAGAATTCCTCGCGAAAACGGCCGTTCGGGCAGCGCGAAACGCGAGGAATCCTGCGGGACCCCGCGAAACGGCGAGAAATCCCGAGAGCGTGCCGCGCCTTAGCGGCTGCCATGGAGACAATGTGCAATGCATCTATTAATCAGTTAGCAATCAGTTAGGATTGCTATGCATGTGTTTTTTATCAAAATATTCCGTTGGGTTGTGTAATATGCTGTGAACAACTGATTGATTGGTATTATATGATTTTTGTTTTACTGAGGCTTTATCCAAGACGCAGTACCTACAAATAATTTGAGTCGATATTTATGGATAAAAAACTGAACTAAACGTAAATAATGAATGAATAAATAAGTATTATTGAATTTAGAAAGCGTTACAGCGAACCATTATATGTCGCCGCCAGTTTTTACGCACGCTCTACAAAAAAAACTTGCCCGAACGGTCTGAGGAATATTCCCTGATGGAGAAAAGACGAAAGGACCCTTCCGAGCACACGGCAAATCTAGTCGAATATGAACATTTTGTCTGCCCCGTAGACTTCAATGTTAAATTGACTATCTTCGAGATTGGGTTATGGAAAATGTGGAACCGATACAGGAAAAGTGCCTCTTCTATCTGTGCCTTTTAACCCTCGCCGGCACAGGCCATTTTGCGTCCTTCGACGGCACAAGGGGCCGGGGGGGGGGGGGGCTGGTACGACCCCCCTCGCGTTTGGCCCCTGATCGAGCTAGAGCTTCGCGAAAAAAACGAGCGTGTTGCCCGTCACGAGACGAAGCCGATGATACCCAATTTTAAGGTCCTAGGTCATCGGGTGACCTTCCAGATCAGGTCAATGACCCGAAAACCGGGAAAATCGGGACCTGTTAGAAAGTCGTAAATTGTGGCTGCTATGTGGTTTTCCGGGATGCTGATCACGAATATCGTGTTAGTTTTGATCAGAGATGATGTCTTTAAGCATTTAGACCAGGTCGGGTCAGGTCAGGTCAGGTCAACCGGTAGGGGTTGTGACGGGTATTCGTAATACGTGTCAACCGCCTCTGACAGCTTCGTAACATGTTACGAAGGCACCAAAATTACTTCGTAAATGTTCAAATGGTTGCCAAATTCGAATTCAGCTCCAAAAACTAGCCTAGAAACATGTAAAACGCGAAAAAGTGAACCGAGGTCACCCGAGGTCACCAAAGGTCAATGACCTGACCTGACCTTCAGGTGACCTTGACACCCACCTTAACCCGCGCCCGGCTGGGGGTCCTGGATTTCCACGCCCTGCTGGGGGGGGTTTGAACACCCCCCCTTCTAACTCGGCTCCTGGGCCACGTAGCGATACGCGGAAGGCGGCGTTCGAAAGAGCGTCAAAAATAATGACGAAATCACTTCGGTCAATTTTTTGGTCAGGTCAAAGGTCAGGTCACCAGAGGTCATTGAAGGCAAAATTTCGCCGCTTTCCAGGTCGAATGTCGAAAATTTCCAAGAAGCCAACGCATAACTCGAGAACCAATAGAGCTACAGCGCCGCGGAAAAGCGCATTCGATAGCCCTATTAACGCCCTTTCTGAATAGTTCTGTCAGATTTGACCTAACGTCAACGGTTTTGCCTGCAGGGGGCAAAAACTGCAAAAATAGCCGATTTTTTTTTCGGAAACAGTTTTTCTGCAATAACTTTTGACCCAAGCCTTGTACGAGCTTACTTTTACCAGCATTGTGTTCCTCTCGTCAAGACGCATCGAATGAACTATAAGTTGACCTTAAAAGGTCAACTTGAAAATTTGACCTCAGGTCAAGGTCATGACCTGACCGGAAAGGGTCATGTTGCATATCAGTCGATCCGTATCGTCGAGCTGAACACATCTAAGGCGTTTTCATCGCTCTAACATGCCTCTATCAAAAGTTATTTGCGAAAAACTGTTAGATACCATTCGTGACCTAAGATGACCTCAGGGCATAAACAAGGGTCACGGACACCATTTTTATGTTCAGTGTGTCTAAACCACTTGTAATTCGGTGTTTGGGAGTGTTTATAATGTCTTTTGTCCAAAAGAGGCGCATTTCAATTTTCTCCCATTGACTTATGGGGAGGTCGCAAAATTGACCGGACCTTAGGTCATCGATATCAAAATTTTGAGATATACATTTTGTACATGCTATTGCTCTTAGCAATCGCTGAAAGTTTCAAAGCGATCGGTCACTCGGTGTAGCTATGACAGACATTGAAACTTTTTATGAGGTGAGGTCACTTCAAGTGACCTGGTGATCTGACCTTGAATGACCTTGGTGTGAAATTTTCACAACATGTGTAGAATTGATGTATGATAAGGTGTACCACGTTTTTGAGATATTCGCGAAAAACCACAAGGGGGGGGGGGGTGTTAAAACACCCCCCCCCCCAGCAGGGCGCGGGTTAATGTATGGGAGCGACATCAAATCACATGTTTGAACGTTTGAAACCACAAAAAGCTTGCAAACGCGCGGCTAATGTTAGCCGACATACGCCGAATCGCGATTCCGGCCAAACATGGTCTCGGAAAAGAGGTCACAGGTCAAAGGTCATTGGGGTCAGGGTCATGAAATTTTCAGGGTAGGTGTAAAATTGATCAATGCGAGGGTACGGAAAGTTTCGTCGGGATCGGCCGCTTTTTACGCGAGTTATTCGCGAAAAACCTTAGGGGGGTTGCATCAACCCCCCCTGTGCCGTTGAGGGTTAAAGTGGTTTCACTATGAGGTACGGAAATCGTTGTTTATAAGGGCTTTGGGGCGCTTTGTCCTTTGACTGCGTTGGTTATTTTGCAGGTAGGGAAATAACTAGTGTTTCCAAGAGACTGAGGGTAACCATGAACCGAACACCAAAAACTTTAGATCTTACTAAATTAGTCGTTTCCACGGAACTTGGATTAAATCAGATCACTGAATCACAAACAAAAAAACAGAAGCATGGCCTCGGTCAATACCTTCATTCGTTCATTCATTCATTCATTCATTCATTCATTCATTCATTCATTCATTCATTCATTCATTCATTCATTCATTCATTCATTCATTCATTCATTCATTCATTCATTCATTCATTCATTCATTCATCCATCCATCCATCCATCTATCCATCCATTCGGCCATTCATTCGTTCATTCATTCATTCATTCATTCATTCATTCATTCATTCATTCATTCATTCATTCATTCATTCAGTCCCATCTGCCTGTTGTCCACAGTGCCGTCTGAGTCGACTCCGGACGCTCGCTCCGTCGCTCTCTCTCCGTCTCTCTCCGCTCTCTCCGCTCTCCCCGGACGATGGAGAAGCAGCCCGCTGCGCCGACCGACCCGGAGAAGGTGGACCCCGCCGCCGGCGGACAGCAGCCCGAATACCGACAGCGCGAGACCTGGGCTAACAATGCCGAGTTCGTCCTCTCGGTGATGGGCTTCTGCGTGGGGCTGGGAAACGTGTGGCGCTTCCCGTACCTCTGCTACAAAAACGGCGGCGGTGAGTGATACATACGAGTACATACCGAGTACATACCGAGTACATACCGTGGGGCTGGGAAACGTGTGGCGCTTCCCGTACCTCTGCTACAAAAACGGCGGCGGTGAGTGATACATACCGAGTACATACCGAGTACATACCGAGTACATACCGTGGGGCTGGGAAACGTGTGGCGCTTACCTATTACCTACCTGTGATATGATTTGGTTTTCTATGGCCAATCCCTCGCTCAGTCGTATTCTGACTTCCACTTTTTGCTCCGCCACATGTGTTTTCTGATATTTCTTCCCCGTTTACCGTTCCCTGTTCTGTTCGTGGGGATCCAGTTTCTGACCCAGCTGTCCACTGATCGGTGGCGTTCCTCTCATCCAGAGGCTTTTTTTGATACCCTGTGCCATTAGTGCTTCTGAATTCTGATTACCTGTTTCTCAGGGGCGTTTCTGATGCCCTGTTTCCCTGTTCCAGTGGCGTTTCTGATCCCCTGTTTCTGCGTTCCAGGACCGTATCTGATCGCCTGCTTCCCTGTACCAGGGTGTTCCTGATCCCCTGTTTCTGCCTTCCCGGGGCGTTTCTGATCCCCTGTTTCTGCGTTCCAGGGCCGTTTCTGATCCCCTGTTTCTGCGTTCCAGGGCCGTTTCTGATCACCTGCTTCCCTGTACCAGGGTGTTCCTGATCCCCTGTTTCTGTGTTCTGGGGACGTTTCTGATGTCCTGTTTCTGGGTTCCAGTGGCGTTTCTGATGCCCTGTTTCTGCGTTCCAGGGGCGTTTCTGATCGCCTGCTTCCCTGTACCAGGGTGTTCCTGAACCCCTGTTTCTGTGTTCTGGGGACGTTTCTGATGTCCTGTGTCCCTGTTCCAGTGGCGTTTCTGATGCCCTGTTTCTGAGTTCCAGTGGCGTTTCTGATGCCCTGTTTGCTGTTTCTGCGTTCCAGGGCCGTTTCTGATGCCCTGTTTCTGCGTTCCAGGGGCGTTTCTGATTCCGTACGCCATCTGCCTGGTGACTGGCGGTGTGCCCATGTTTTTCCTGGAAGTCGGCATCGGCCAGTTCATGGGAGAGGGCGGCATCTCCGTCTGGAAACTCTGCCCGGCGTTCACAGGTTCGAATCCCACAGAGGTCCGATGTTTTCGGAACACTGCACCGTCGCTGTTTGTTATCCTACGGCAGGTACGGGCGGATGGCGTTTGTAAGAAATTGACACGGAAAAGATGATGAAAATCTAGAAATAGGAACTCTGATTTAAATCTAAAATTTCAGCTTTATAGAATTCATTTCATTGTTATTAAAAACGAAGGATGACGGTCAATTTAAGCAAGCCAAACCATGATTACAACCAAACATTTACATACAAAAACTTCGACTCTATAACCTAAGTACTGCGATTAGGCACACTTTTTTAAGTTCTCTAGCGTTACATACTTTTAGCCATATGAATATCAATAAGGCATGGAGTTGAAATGTATCGTAATATCTTACATTATAGATCACTTTAATTCGGTTCAGCACGAGCCAGGGTTTGATCTTGTCTGTGCCATCTAATGAAATATGATGACCAGTCATTCGACCTTCAGAATCGGCCCTAAGTCACTGTCTCGTAGCGCCGCGCCAGCCATTCACGTGTGTTTATATGACATTGGCCCCAAAATGTGTAAACATTTTCAGAACCTGATATGTGAGAGCATCGTGTAGCCACTATTTGGTCTGTGTGGCGATCTAATCAAGCCCTAAGACCTCTGGGTGTTTTGAATACATGACAAGCGCCTGTAATGAATTCCTAACCGTGGTCTGTTTTGTGTCCAGTTGACTTAACATCGCTGGAGACCGGTGGTGGTGGTGAAAAGCTCCGCCCTCGTTGGGGTTCGAACTCACGGCCGCCCTATTGCGCCAGGTATCGGACTGGGAACTACGGTGATCTCCTTCCTACTCAACATCTACTACATCGTCATCCTGGCGTGGGGCCTGCTCTATATGTTCCACTCGTTCCAGGTGGGTACTCCATGCACCCGTTCAGTTAGTTCAATTAGTTCCAGCCGTGGGTGATACCACGCCCGCTCAGCTGGGTTCCAGGTGAGCCCATTCAGTTTCATTCCAGGTGAGCCGTCCCAGTTCATTGTGCCTACTGTGATCCGGTTTGTGTATTGCGTTTTGTGTTGTGTTCCAGCCTATTAACTGAGCTCGATGCTGCTGTGTCCCAGTCGCCGCTGCCGTGGGCCACCTGTGACAACTGTATTGTACTCCAGTCTGTTATGCTGTGTTCTGTATTGTGTGCCACTGTGTTATGCTGTGTTCTGTATTGTGTTCCGGTGCCTTATGCTGTGCTCTTTATTGTGTTCCAGTGTGTAATACATACTGTGTTCTGTATTGTGTTCCTGTAGCCGCTGCCGTGTGTCAGCTGCATTGTGTTCCGGTGTGTTATGCTGTGTTCTGTATTGTGTTCCAGTCGCCGCTGCCGTGGGCCACGTGCGACAACTGGTGGAACACCGAGCTGTGCTCCACCTTCGCTAACGGCACGGCCAACGGCTCGGCGGCGGCGGTAAAGACAGACCCCGTGGTGGAGTTCTGGGAGTGAGTACCTGCCTCTAGTTTTTTTTTTTTTCAAAAGGCCTTTGGCAGTTGGTTTTAAGGTTTAAGCATATTTTCCGAACAAGCACGTGTTTAATTAGCAAGCGAAACGAACAAAACTGAGCCTGATAATTTTTCGACCGTTTTTTGTGCTTTTTTAGTTCCTTTTTCAGACAATTCAACGCTGGTGATCGATTGAAACAGCACTCTTTCATTAAGGAAAGCCAGAAAAATGAGTTGCTGGAAAAGGTCATTGACACCAAAAATTTGACGCCAAGAATTCATGGACAAAATTGTTAGAGCTAAGCCATGCTCTGTTTTGTTCCTGGAAACCTCTTCGAGGAAACAAATTAAAAACAAAGTAGAAATCGGTATTTGGACTTTGGAGGTATAGTCTGTTCCATATCAAGCTTACAGTCGGAGTTCCTTCGGCAGATCGCTCCTCCGCTCAAGAATTTGCGTCTTTTTTTTCTTTTTTTTTTATTGACATATTATTGCATATATGACAATTCAGGCGGCGCAGCGGCGCAGCGGCCGGCGTCAGCTGCCGGGCCGCCGCGCCGCCGCGGAGGCAGGATGTTTGCCTTTACACCGTTATTTCTAGAAAAGTTGTAAATGAATTCACTTATTGTTTGCACGAAAAGACCCGCAATTCTGTTCTGGACAGGTATAAAAATCAACGTTAATATTTCCATTACGGCGTGAGTTATTGGCGCAAAACAAGAGGGGTGGACAAAATTCACCCCACCCCCCATTCCACTGTGCGTGTCAAGTTCTTGTTTTGTTTCTTCTCTCTCTTGTCTACCATCTATCAAGCCCTCTATCCGGTATATTGGGCTCCTGTATAGACGACGTGGGCGTTCCACAGTGGTACTGACATTGCTGACATTACAGACACAATATCCTGGGACTGAGCTCCGGGATAGACGACGTGGGCGTTCCCCAGTGGTGCTGACATTGCTGACATTACAGACACAATATCCTGGGACTGAGCTCCGGGATAGACGACGTGGGCGTTCCCCAATAGTGCTGACATTGCTGACATTACAGACACAATATCCTGGGACTGAGCTCCGGGATAGACGACGTGGGCGTTCCCCAGTGGTGCTGACATTGCTGACATTACAGACACAATATCCTGGGACTGAGCTCCGGGATAGACGACGTGGGCGTTCCCAAGTGGTGCTGACATTACTGACATTACAGACACAATATCCTGGGACTGAGCTCCGGGATAGACGACGTGGGCGTTCCCCAGTGGTGCTGACATTGCTGACATTACAGACACAATCTGGGACTGAGCTCCGGTATAGACGACGTGGGCGTTCCTCAGTGGTGCTAACATTGCTGACATTACAGACACAATATCCTGGGACTGAGCTCCGGTATAGACGACGTGGGCGTTCCTCAGTGGTGCTAACATTGCTGACATTACAGACACAATATCCTGGGACTGAGCTCCGGTATAGACGACGTGGGCGTTCCTCAGTGGTGCTAACATTGCTGACATTACAGACACAATATCCTGGGACTGAGCTCCGGGATAGACGACGTGGGCGTTCCCCATTGGTGCTGACATTACTGACATTACAGACACAATATCCTGGGACTGAGCTCCGAGATAGACGACGTGGACGTTCCCCAGTGGTGCTGACATTGCTGACATTCAACAGACACAATATCCTGGGACTGAGCTCCGGGATAGACGACGTGGGCGTTCCCCAGTGGCGCCTCGTTCTGACGCTGCTGCTCGCCTGGATCATGGTGTACTTCATCGTGTGGAAAGGCATCAAGTCCTCCGGCAAGGTCGTCTACTTCACCGGTGAGTGGCAGACAAGGTGGTCAACTTCACCGGTGAGTGAGAAAAGCGTTCACAGCTGGCTGAAATTCTTGCGTTTTTATGACCATGCGGGCTAGTCAAAATCGATTCAGTATCATGGCAACGTCCAGACAAAAATTTTCAGCGGCTGTGTTCAGCGGATACCGGGTGTGACGGAGTTCATATGAGCCGCGAGACCTGTGCTGACTCCCCCTGGCCGCCACCCACTACTGCCAGGTCTGCTCGTATTTCTACCATGCCGTTCGTGTGTGCCGACGCTCCCTGTGCCGCTGTGGCTGTGCTGTGTCTGACTCTCCCTGTGCCGCTGTTGCTGTGCTGTGACGGTGACGGCGCCGGGTTGTTGCTGTGCTGTGAGCTTTGCTGTGTCTGACTCTCCCTGTGCCGCTGTGGCTGTGCTGTCTGACTCCAGCTGTGCCGCTGTTGCTGTGCTGTGTCTGACTCTCGCTGTGCCGCTGTTGCTGTGCTGTGTCTGACTCTCCCTGTGCCGCTGTGGCTGCGCTGTGTCTGACTCTCCCTGTGCCGCTGTTGCTCTGCTGTGTCTGACTAGCTGTGCCGCTGTGACTGTGCTCTGTCTGACTCTCCCTGTGCCGCTGTGGCTGTGTCTGACTCTCGCTGTACCGCTGTTGCTGTGCTGTGTCTGACTCTCGCTGTGCCGCTGTGGCTGTGCTATGTCTGACTCTTGCTGTGCCGCTGTGGCTGTGCTGTGTGTGACTCTCCCTGTGCCGCTGTGGCTGTGTCTGACTCTCCCTGTGCCGCTGTGGCTGTGCTGTGTCTGAATCTCCCTGTGCCGCTGTGGCTGTGCTGTATCTGACTCTCCCTGTGCCGCTGTGGCTGTGCTGTGTCTGAATCTCCCTGTGTCGCTGTTGCTGTGCTGTGTCTGACTCTCCCTGTGCCGCTGTGGCTGTGCTGTATCTGACTCTCCCTGTGCCGCTGTTGCTGTGCTGTGTCTGACTCTTGCTGTGCCGCTGTGGCTGTGCTGTATCTGACTCTCCCTGTGCCGCTGTGGCTGTGCTGTGTCTGACTCTCCCTGTGCCGCTGTAGCTGTGCTGTGTCTGACTCTCCCTGTGCCGCTGTTGCTGTGCTGTGTCTGAATCTCCCTGTGTCGCTGTGGCTGTGCTGTGTCTGACTCTCCCTGTGCCGCTGTTGCTCTGCTGTGTCTGAATCTCCCTGTGCCGCTGTTGCTCTGCTGTGTCTGACTCTCCCTGTGCCGCTGTGGCTGTGCTGTATCTGACTCTCCCTGTGCCGCTGTGGCTGTGCTGTGTCTGAATCTCCCTGTGTCGCTGTTGCTGTGCTGTGTCTGACTCTCCCTGTGCCGCTGTGGCTGTGCTGTATCTGACTCTCTCTGTGCCGCTGTGGCTGTGCTGTGTCTGACTCTCGCTGTGCCGCTGTTGCTGTGCTGTGTCTGACTCTCCTGTGCCGCTGTTGCTGTGCTGTGTCTGACTCTCCCTGTGCCGCTGTGGCTGTGCTGTGTCTGACTCTCCCTGTGCCGCTGTGGCTGTGCTGTGTCTGACTCTCCCTGTGCCGCTGTGGCTGAGTATCTGACGCTGAACCATCGCCCACAGCCACCTTTCCGTACATCATGCTGTTCGTGCTGCTGGTGCGGGGCGCCACCCTGCCCGGCGCCAAGCTGGGCATCCTGTTCTACCTGACCCCCGACTTCGGAAAACTGCTGGAGGCGCAGGTAATTAGACATACACTCACACTGCTGGAGACCCAGGTAAAACTAACACACTGCAGGGCTGTCTATTACATTGCCGGTAGGCTCTAACCGCTCGCTTCCTTCGTCCCTCATAGTGCTATCGCAATCCCTAAAAAGATTATTGTTCAGCACCTATCGATGGGTATTACCGACCGTTACCATGCTGACCCGTTCCGTCGCCTCCGTCATCGGTCAGGTCTGGATAGACGCCGGGACGCAGATTTTCTTCAGCTACGCCATCGCCCTGGGCTCGATGACGGCACTGGGGTCGTACAACAAGTACAACCACAACTTCATACGCGACTGCACGCTGCTCTCCGTGGTCAACAGCTGCACGAGCCTCTTCGCAGGTGAGGCGCCCTCGGCGACACGACACGAGATCGCACCAGCCTCTCCGCAGGTGAGGCGCGCTCGGTAACACGCCACGAGACTTCTTCTTCGCAGGTGAGGCACCCTCGGCAACACCAGCTTCTTAGCCAGTGAGGTGTCCTCGGCGAGACCGCAAGAGACTGGGAACAGAGCAGAACACGCGGCAACAGTTGTACCAACCTCTTCGATGGTAAAGTGACCCCGGCGATACCGCACCAGCCTCTTCGCAGGTGAGGCGTCCTCGGCGAGACTGCACGAGACTGCGAACTGGGGAGGACACGCGACAACAGTTTTACCAGCATCTTCAAAGGTGAGGTGACCCCGGCGATACGGCACGATACCGCACCAGCCTCTTCGCAGGTGAGGTGCCCCCGGCCAGACCGTACGAGACTGCGAACTGGCCACTGGGGAGGACACGCGGCTGGCACTACCCGCCCCAGATCGTTAACTTCTCAGTTTCCTCCTTTGTAGTGTATATACTGTTCCTTTACACCTGGAATGATCTCCTGATAACTGACAAACCCCCAGGAATCACTGATGCTAGTCGTCCCCATCTTGAGTGAGATGTTTCACAACGTTTCGGCCAGTTACTTCTCCGCCCGTCGTCAGGTGTTCTTTGGTCCTTAGAAGGACCTGGGTGTTGTTGGCGTTGCGCCGTAAGTGTCATACCTTTCGAAAGTTCCTGTGGTCAGCGGGGATCGAACTCGAGTACCCCGGTGATGGGCCACGGTTCTAACCACTCCACTATCGAGGCAGGCAAATCAACCAACCCCCAGGAAGCCCCCAGCCTACGTGTCTGCCGGCGACGTCTCCCGCGTCCCTCGGCGCAGTCTAAGCTGTCTGCAGATTTTGGAAGTGCACTGTCAGCGGAATGCGTGCTGTTGAGTGTCCATGACAGGTTAGATGATGATGTAAATAATAAACAAATTATTACAAATGCATTCAAATGCATTCTCATTTTGAACAAGTTTGAAGGCATTTATAATAATTTGTTTATCATTTACGTCATCATCCAATGCCTGCTGTCTTATCACTGTCCACCCATTTCAGGGATCGTGGTATTCAGCGTACTCGGCTGTCTAATGTAGGTATATCTATGGTGTGAATTCTGTTCCTCTGTGTTTCAGGGTTCGTGGTGTTCAGCGTCCTCGGCTGTGTACTGTAGGTATATCTATGGTCTGAATTCTGTTCCTCTGTGTTCCAGGGTTCGTGGTGTTCAGCGTCCTCGGTTTCATGGCCACCGAACAGGGCGTCACCGTAGACGTCGTGGCAAAGTCAGGTGAGAAAGTAGTCGTCTTTGGGCCGAGAATGCCATACTTGTCATAGGTATCATAGTCCTTAGAATGTAGAGTCATTGAAAACAAAAATAAGATTCAAACATGACAAGGGTACCTATCTCCTGCTGGCAGCACCGGGCCTGGCGTACATCGCCTTCTACCCCTGGCAGGACCGGACCTGGCATTAATCGCCCTCTCCCTGGCAGGACCGGGCCTGGCGTTAATCGCCCTCTACCCCTGGCAGGACCGGGCCTGGCGTTAATCCCTCTCCCGCTGGCAGGACCGGGCCTGGCGTTAATCCCTCTCCCGCTGGCAGGACCGGGCCTGGCGTTAACCCCTCTCTCCCTGGCAGGACCGGGCCTGGCGTTAACCCCTCTCCCGCTGGCAGGACCGGGCCTGGCGTTAATCCCTCTCCCGCTGGCAGGACCGGGCCTGGCGTTAACCCCTCTCTCCCTGGCAGGACCGGGCCTGGCGTTAATCGCCCTCTCCCGCTGGCAGGACCGGGCCTGGCGTTAATCGCCCTCTCCCGCTGGCAGGACCGGGCCTGGCGTTAATCCCTCTCCCCCTGGCAGGACCGGGCCTGGCGTTAATCGCCCTCTCCCGCTGGCAGGACCGGGCCTGGCGTTAACCGCCCTCTCCCGCTGGCAGGACCGGGCCTGGCGTTAATCGCCCTCTCCCGCTGGCAGGACCGGGCCTGGCGTTAATCGCCCTCTCCCGCTGGCAGGACCGGGCCTGGCGTTAACCGCCCTCTCCCGCTGGCAGGACCGGGCCTGGCGTTAACCGCCCTCTCCCGCTGGCAGGACCAGGCCTGGCGTTAACCGCCCTCTCCCGCTGGCAGGACCGGGCCTGGCGTTAATCCCCCTCCCGCTGGCAGGACTAGGCCTGGCGTTCATCCCCCTCTCCCGCTGGCAGGACCGGGCCTGGCGTTAATCGCCCTCTCCCGCTGGCAGGACCGGGCCTGGCGTTAATCGCCCTCTCCCGCTGGCAGGGCCGGGCCTGGCGTTAATCCCTCTCCCGCTGGCAGGACCGGGCCTGGCGTTAATCCCTCTCCCGCTGGCAGGACCGGGCCTGGCGTTAATCGCCCTCTCCCGCTGGCAGGGCCGGGCCTGGCGTTAATCCCTCTCTCCCTGGCAGGACCGGGCCTGGCGTTAATCCCTCTCCCGCTGGCAGGACCGGGCCTGGCGTTCATCGCCTACCCGAAGGCGGTGTCGCTGATGCCGCTGGCGCCGCTCTGGTCCATCCTGTTCTTCGTGATGCTGCTCACACTGGGCCTGGACTCGCAGTTCGTGGCCGTCGAGGGCTTCGTCACCGCCATCGTCGACCTCTACCCGCAGTACCTCAGGTACCGTACCCGCAGTACCTCAGGTACCGTACCCGCAGTACCTCAGGTACCGTACCCACAGTACCTCAGGTACCGTACCCTCAGTACCTCAGGTACCGTACCCTCAGTACCTCAGGTACCGTACCCTCAGTACCTCAGCTACCGTACCCGCAGTACCTCAGGTACCGTACCCGCAGTACCTCAGGTACCGTACCCTCAGTACCTCAGGTACCGTACCCGCAGTACCTCAGGTACCGTACCCTCAGTACCTCAGGTACCCTACCCTCAGTACCTCAGGTACCGTATTACAGTACCTCAGGTACCGTACTACAGTACCTCAGGTACCGTACCCTCAGTACCTCAGGTGCCGTACCCGCAGTACCTCAGATACCGTACTACAGTACCCCAGGTACCGTACCCGCAGTACCTCAGGTACCGTACCCTCAGTACCTCAGGTGCCGTACCCGCAGTACCTCAGATACCGTACTACAGTACCTCAGATACCGTACCCGCAGTACAGTCACCAGCACTTGCTACTAATCACCTCGTTTTTGCTCAGTAGTTTGAAGACTGATCAATTCTCAGTCGAGCAAGATACGTCAAACGATCGGTTTGGTCCTCCGATTTTCGAATATCTAACTTCTTTTTGTATGTTCGAAGCATTTTGGGATGAGGAGCCAAAAAAACGTCTTTTCTGCCCTAAAGTTGCCCCAAGAAGTCGTAGAACCTAGCCCCGCCTCTGATCCACAGACCACTAGTGCCATCTCTTGTCAGCCGAACAAACCGCAGAAGTAAATAATGTCACGTGACCTTTGCACACGCTACAATTACTACGCAGTTGTAGTGGGGGAAGCGGGGCGGAGGCGTGGAGAGGGACGCGATCGGTCCGGTCGGCTGGGGTCAGGTCGCCGAAGTCGGAGGTCATCCGCCGGAGGGTGTTTGGGCGGTTGAGCCGTGTGGGCTGGGGCTTGCGGAGTGGGGAGCGCCTGGACCTGTCTGGAAACAAGTTCTACAACGCTGTGGCAGTCGAGAATATTGTGAGGAAAGAGAGAGAGAGAGAGAGAAAGAGAGAGAGAGAGAGAGAGAGAGAGAGAGAGAGTGGAAGAGAAAGAGGGAGATAGAGGGAGAGAGGGAGAGGGAAAGAGAGGGAGATGGAGAGAGAGAGTGGAAGAGAAAGAGAGAGGGAGAGAGAGGGGAGAGAGGAGAGAGAGGAGAGAGAGAGTGGAAGAGAAAGAGGGAGATAGAGAGAAAGAGAGGGAGATGGAGGGAAAGGGAGAGAGATGGGAGAGAGGGAGAGAGAGGGGAGAGAGAGAGAGAGAGAGAGAGAGAGAGAGAGAGGAGAGAGAGAGAGAGAGAGAGAGAGAGAGAGAGAGAGAGAGAGAGAGAGAGAGAGAGTGAGAAGACAGACTGGAGGGAAGGGATAAGGACGGGAGGAGAGAAAAGAGAGACGGAAAAGGAAAACCAGGAAGGGTAAAATGAGAGAGAGGGTAATGGGTGAATCAGTGAGAGGGAGCGAGAGAGAAAATATTTAGTTGTGTCAGCTTGTTTCGTATGTAAAATGTAAATTTGTTTTCCATCATTTCAGCTTCGGATTGGAAATTAAAACTTAGCACCCTTATGATAAACCCACGCTGACGGGATGGGGACGTTTTTATGGTCGTCGTTGGGAGCTCGGCACTAATGGGGATGATGTTGAGGGTTTCGCAAATATTTCATAAAAGAGATGATATTTTTTGCATCACCTATTAAACATTTTTTTACGTTTGCAATGAAAATGTTAGGCCCAGTTCTTCAAGATCAGGTCCACGACTCCACAGCTTACAACAGGAGCTAGCTAACATAACAATTCACCCGCGCCGTGTTGGTGGCATGAACTTTCCGTCGAGTGCTGAGGGGGGGGGGCGTTTCACGCCCCTCCGTCTAACTCGGCTCCCATGGGCCACGTAGCGACACGCGGTAAGCGGCAATCGAAAGAGCGTCAAAAATAAGAAGGAAAACACTCGGTCATTTTAAGGTCAGGGCAAAGGTCAGGTCACCAGAGCTCATCAAAGGTCAAATTTCGTCGATTTCAACGATTTTAAACATCCGACGGCTAGCTCTGGAACCAATAGAGCTACAGCGCCGTGGAAAAGCGCATTCGATAGCTCTTTTAACGCTCTTTCGCCAACCTGTCCTCAAATTTGACCTCAGATCAACGGTTTAGCCCCAGAGGGCACCGCTCTGATTGACCTCAAATTTGACCTCAGATCAACGGTTTAGCCCCTGTGTTTTCACCGCTCTAGCACGTCTCTGTCAAATCAAAAGTTATAGTAAAAAAAAAAACTGCTGAAGATCTTTCATGACCTGAGATGACCTCAGGGGCACACAAAGGGGGCACAGGTGCAATTTTCCGATTCAGAGTGTCATGTTTACATATGAACCGATGTTTGAGAGGGTGTAGAACGACATTCGGCCCAAAGAGGCTCATTTCAATTTTCTCCCATTGACTTATATATGGAGCAGTCGCAAAATTGACCTGACCTTAGGTCACAACTCACAGATATAAAAAAAAAATCCGAGATATCCATTTTATACATACTGTTACCCTAAGCAAGTACTGAAAGTTTCAAAGTGATCGCTCAGTCGGTGTAGCTAGAGCGAGCTTTCTAACTTTTTCTGAGGTAAGGTCACTTGACGTTACATGGTGACCTGACCTTGAATGACCGGGATCTGAAATTTTCATAGCATGTGCGAAAAAGATGTCGGAACGGGTGTATCTAAAACAGCGGTGCTACGCGTCGCCATTTTTTTTAGATATTCGCGAAAAACCTAGGGGGGCGTAAAACGCCCCCCCCCCCCACAGGACGGCGCGGATCAAACGGCCCCTGAGACCTCGGGATGGTGCCCCTGAGACCTTGGGATGGTGCCCCTGAGACTTCGAGATGGTGTCCCCTCAGACCCGGGGAGAGTGCTCCTTCAGACCTCGGATTTCGGAAAAGTGACCCTGGAAACTTGGAATGGTGCCCCCAGACCTCGCGATGGTGCCGCCGGAGACCTTGGGATCAGGATGGTTCCCCGGACCCTCGAGATGAAGCCCTCTCCGACCTTGGGATGGTGCCTGCGGAGAACTCCGGATAGTGCCCCCTGAGAACTCGAGATGGTGCCCCCGCGAACCTCGGGATGGAAATAGATGGACAATATTAAACTAAAAACTAAAGAAACTCAACTAAACTAAAAAAACGAGGCGAGGGACAGAAATGGGCCTCCGGGAGACCCCGAAAACGGTACTCTATTCCGATAGACCTTCTGGATGGTGCCCCCTTAGGAGACCTCTGGGTTAAAGCTCCCGTCGGTGACCTCCGTGATGAAATAAAAAAAACTCCGTGATGGGCCCCCGGGAGGCCCAAGGGGGGGGAGAATGGCCCCCATGTCCTCCCTCTGGATCCGCCACTGAAATGATCTGACCCAAGATCTTACCTAAAAACGACCAAAAGCCTTCCTTCATTGTCCGAAAACCGCTGACAGTTGATAGCTCAATGACACTAGAGCCGTGCATAAGGAGGCGTGAAAACACTCTCCTCATCTCGATCTATTACGAGAGGACCATGTCATGGCGTGAGAAAGTTGTTCTCAAAATAGATGACACTGTATGAATGAGTAAATAATTCGCGCCCCGTTGGGCTATTGGCGGACCCTACCACCTGATGGGGTGGTGCAGCCGTTTCGTCCTCCACCTGAGATCTCGGAAAGTTACCGACCGATTTTGAAAATTCGAAGAACGTTCGATAGCCCCAAAAGGGGCTATCGAACCTTGTTACCAGGTTTCGTTGACCTAGGTGCAACCCATGACGTCACAAGTCAGGTCAAAGGTTGCATTTTTTCACCGATTTAGTCTAAGGAATGCGTTACAGTCAGTTAACACATCAAATAAAAGGCATGTTATCGAAAAACATCGATGGAGCGTGGTTGCCCAATACATATGTTGCCTAAAGAGGTCCCTGATGCCAGGTCAGGTCAAAGAGGTCAGGTCACTAAGGGTCACAATATGAACCCAACTATGCTAATTGCTAGGGTCGCGTGATACATGTTTATGGCCAATTTTACATTTAAAATTCAATGGTGTGGGCTAGACGGCCATTGGGGCCGGTTTAGATTACGTTCTGGTGGAGGTCAGGTCAAGGTCAGGTCAAAAATGGTTAAATTTCAGAGTTGATATTTTGCAGAAAAGGGGTATCTAATCGATGCAGCTCATCACGGGAAATCCAATGGTGGTCTTTGGCTTGCTCTGTGTGTTCTGTGACGGCTAAAAATTGAGTTTGAAAATTTTACGTAATACATTTTGAGTAGTGTTTTTTTTGCCATAACTTTGCTAAAAATGGAGCTGTCGAGCTTACGTTTGGCATATCTAGAGCAGATAGTTCTATAACATAAATTCCAGCTTTAATTTTGAATGTTGTTGGTATTTTCAGGGTGTTATATCTACTTCTATAGTTTTGATGGTCGAAATCAATTTTTGTTTAGAAATCAGAGTTGACAGTTTTGTAGCGCTGTTTATTTTGCATCTTTTTATCTTGAATACCTATTTTTTTGTTATCTTCAAAACTGTAAGCGTGACAGCTCTTCCCGCTAAACCTGTTATTGGGTCGAAAATGGCAGAACATGACGTCACTGTGACGTCATTTGTGACTAACCTTTGATAAGAGCTCTGGAAAAATTTGGTCACAAGGTGTAAAATGATGCCCGGAGGGGTCCTGAAAGTTTGGTGGCGACCTACGCTATACTTTAGGAGATATCGACTGAAAAGGAGAGGGGGCTGTTTCGCGCCCCCTCCCCCCAACGGGGCTCGAGGCTTTCAGTTGTTGCTCTCACAAAACTCTTGGTTATATCACAACGTAGTGGAATTGCAAGCTAGGCAATATAAGCTTCCTGCCAGCGCCGGACCCGAGTTTAAACATGTAGGCTGAATTTTAACATTTGACTTTTAAATTTTTACCGTTGAGCTTTTTAGAAGTTCAATGAACTGATTAGCTCCTTTTTTGGTCCATCACAGCGGGCTTGTATGTCATTTGTCAATCAAAATCGAATTAAAAACTTTTTATTGGGTCTGGTTATCTCGCCAACTTCTTAACTGAATCGTTTAGTAGCTTTTGATTGGGCACTGCCCACGTTGTCTGTCAAACTTTTCGTGTCAACGAAAAGAGGCTGCTGACATCGTTTGTCGCGGTTAGATAATACCAATCCACGTCTCAGTGTGGCTGCTCGATCGCACTTTCCCTGGCCCACCTCTCCCACCAGGATAGGCTTTGCCCGGCACAGCCGTCGCCTCAGTGCCTCGGGCGGTGACCCGTTCAAAGGGGCTCACAATTCGTATGGTGCCGTGGCTCTCAAACCAACACAGAACAGTGAAACGCACAGGCCTACCTTCCATATAAGGCGAACGGCTGATTCTGGCGCCGGGGCTTCATTCATGCTAAAGCGCCCAATCACAGCGCCGCATTTCAGTAAGTGTCGGGCGCAAAAGCTACTATGCTCCGCCCCTCCATCACGTGACCCTGCCCTCACGTGGCCTCAGTCACGTGGTGTTTCCACTTCTTGGCGCATGGCGGCGCTAGTCTCGCAGGGGCGGTGGTAGCTTGCTCCCCCGCCGTCCGGGGGTGATGGGTAGCAACTGCTGGTGACTGTACCTCAGGTACAGTACCAAAGTACCTCAAGTACCTACCGTTAAATGTAGTAGTACCTACATCGAGTTTACGCTTGCGTGGTAACAATCATTCAGCCTATACGCCTCTACATCGATTTTACTCGACTGACAGAGAATGGAATTGCGTGGCGTTGTTGTATATTTATGTTGTTGCATGTGCAGGCTGTGGCATGGTGTTGCATGTGCGTTGCATGGTTTATGAGCCTTCATTGAGGTTCATCGTTCATTACAATTTTATTCACAACATAACCTGCATGCTGCATGACTCTGGCAAATCAAGATGGACAAGTATCTCAAGCCCCCAGAACTCAACATTGATCCCAAATCGACATCTGCTGAAGATGAGTGGGATATGTGGATTACAAAGTTTGGGGATTTCTTCAACTCCATCGATCCGGCCCTAAATCCCAACAAGCTCACGCTTCTTCGGGCTCACATGTCATGTGCATGCTATAAGCTGATCAAGGCGGCCACTACCTTTGATGAGGCTGTCGAGATGCTGGAAGCAAGGTTCGTGAAACCCCACAGTGAGGTCTATGCTCGCCACAGGCTCGCTTCTCGGCGACAGCAGGCTGGAGAATCACTTGACACTTATCTCGAGGAACTGGGGCTCCTGGCATCTCAATGCAAGTTTGAAGCAGCTACAGCTGAAAAAGTAAAGGAGGATGCCATACGTCATGCCTTCATCAATGGCCTGTCATCCAGTGCTATTCGACAGCGTCTTCTGGAGAACCTTCAGCTTGATCTGAAAACAGCTGTTTCTCAGGCTCGTGCTCTGGAGATGGCCCAGCAGCAATCTGAAATGTATCATAGAAACAGCAGTGATTCGTCACCAGTGACAGTGACAGCCCATGCTCAGTCTGATCCTTCTTCTGCAGAGGAGACAGTGCCATCCGCTCGAGGAGGAGAGGAAGTGACTGCAGCAGTTGAACGTACCTGCTTCTTCTGTGGTGGTCCACATCATGCTCGAAACAAGTGTCGTGCACGCAATGCTACCTGTTCAAGCTGTGGTAGGCAGGGGCATTTTGCCTCAGTCTGCCAGATGGGGAGATGGTCCAGAAGAGCACAACCGACCAAGGACCGGAGACAAACCACAGCTTCTATGCCGATACTGTCAGCAATGCATGAAACCTCTCTTCCGAGTCTACGGTCTGCTATGACACGTGTCACAATCAATGGTCAAGAGTTCGAAGCGCTGATCGACACTGGTAGCTCTCAGAGTTTCATCCGTACCCGGGTCGCAGAGGACGTTCACCTGAACATCGAACCCGCACATGGTACTGTGTGCATGGCCTCCACACAGCATCATGTCAAGGTGGCGGGGCAGTGTAGGGTGAGACTACGGGTTCAAGATGAATCATATGATGACTACCTGTTCTCTGTCATGGACGATCTGTGTGCACCTGTGCTACTCGGTCATGACTTTCTCAAGGCACACGAAAGTGTGTCCCTGACGTTCGGTGGCTCCCGATCCTCGCTCAGCCTGTGCTGTCTGACTCCCGCAGTGGTAACGCCACCATCCTTGTTCGGTAACTTGACGGAGGACTGTCACCCTATCCAGGCCAAGTCACGCCGCTACAGCGCCTCCGAAGTGAAGTTCATCGAGGGTGAGGTCGATCGTCTCCTAAAAGAAAGCATCATCTCTCCCAGCACCAGCCCATGGCGTGCTCAAGTTCTTGTGGTTGCATCTCCTAGCGGGAAACGTCGGATGGTTGTGGACTACGCCCAGACCATCAATCGCTTCACGGAGCTGAATGCTTACCCGCTGCCAAGAATCAACGAACAGGTTGAAAAGATCGCTCAATACTCCTACTTCAGCACGATAGACCTGACCACTGACCAGTGCCTATCACCAGATCCCCATCGATCCTGAAGATCGCAAGTACACAGCTTTCGAAGCTGATGGAAGACTCTTCGAATTCCTTCGTATCCCGTTCGGGGTCACTATTACTAATGGGGTCGCCTGTTTTCAGCAGATCCTCGACGATGTCATTCGAGCTGAGAACCTGCGCGACACATTTGCATACGTCGACGACATGACCATCTGTGGTTGCACCAGAGAAGAACATGACAGGAACCTGGAGCGCTTCATCGACGCTGCAAAGAAGTTCTCGCTGACGATCAATCAAGAGAAGAGTCAGTATGGCAAGACATCCGTCAGGATCCTGGGGCATGTGGTGGAGAACCGGACGATTCGACCTGATCCAGAGCGACTTCGAGCCTTGATGGAGCTGCCGGTGCCCGAGGACGCGAAGGCACTGAAGCGAGCTGTAGGCATGCTCTCACACTACTCCAAGTGGGTGTCGTCCTTCTCCGAGAAGCTCCGGCCGCTGATCGACGGCGACTGCTTTCCCCTGTCGCCTGACGCGGTCGCGGCGTACCAGCGGTTGAAGGAAGACATCGGTGCTGCTACCATGTCAGCGATTGACGACTACGCTACCTTTGTGGTAGAGACGGACGCGTCTGATAATGCGATCGCAGCCACTCTTACTCAGAACGACAAGCCGGTCGCCTTCTTCTGGCGAACGTTAAACCCATCAGAACGCAAACAGGCATCCGTTGAGAAGGAGGCTGCAGCCATAGTCGAGTCAATTCGAAAGTGGCGGCATCTTCTGATTGGACGCCACTTCAAGCTCATCACAGATCAACGCTCGGTCTCCTTCATTTTCGACCGCGCGAGCAAAGGACGCATCAAGAACGACAAGATACTGCGTTGGCGTCTCGAGCTGGCGTGCATGAGCTTTGAGATCGTGTATCGTCCGGGGAAGTTCAACACAGTTCCTGACATGCTATCCAGGGCTGTCTGTGGCGCAACCGCCACGGACACTGAAGATCTCATCCGATCTCTCCATGGACAACTCTGCCACCCTGGTGTAACGCGGTTGTGGCACTACCTCCGGTCGCGGAATGTGGCTTGTTCGGTGGATGATATAAGGCGAGTCGTAACGCAGTGTAGAACCTGTGCACAGCACAAACCACGATTCGTCCATACCTCTAACACGCTTGTCAAGGCGACTAGGGTGTTTGAGCGATTGAGCGTTGACTTCAAGGGTCCCCTGCCATCAAACACTCAAAGAGCGTACATGTTTGTCGTGGTAGATGAATTCTCTCGCTTCCCGTTCGCTTTTCCTACTGCCGATACGTCTGCGGATTCGGCGATACAGTGTATGATGTCTCTGTTCACTATGTTTGGCACACCCGAGTTTGTACATTCCGATCAGGGCACCGCCTTCACGTCCTCTCGATTTAAGCAGTTTCTCCTACAGAACAGCATCGCCCAGAGCTTCTGTTCGGCATACAACGCCGCAGGCAACGGTCAAACCGAGCGTTACAACGGCATCATCTGGAAGTCTGTGTGCATGGCCTGTCACTCTGACAGCATCGACTTGAAAAACTGGGAAACCGTCCTCCCCCGGGCTCTGCACAGCGTTCGTTCGTTGCTATGCACAGCCACGAACCAGACGCCTCATGAACGATTCTTCAAACATCCTCGAAGGTCAATCAATGGTCAAGCTCTCCCTTCTTGGCTGGTGACATCAGACAGGGTACTGCTCCGTCGGTTCAACCGCGCCAGCAAGTACGAGCCTCTGGTGGATGAGGTCGATCTTCTGCACGTTACTCCCACGTACGCCAAGGTCCGACTGCCGAGTGGTCGTGAGCCGACTGTCTCTATCCGTCATCTCGCCCATAGGAGGTGAGAGCGCTGGGGAGCACTGCCAGATGGGTGATCATCGATCGAGTGACACAGACGTGCCTCCTATTGACTCGCCCTGTGACCCTGTGTGTCCCACTGAGCGTGGCGACTCGTCTGATGCTGTGTCCGTCTCTGCACCGGATGTTCATGATGTTCCTCCCGAGATCTCGCCTGACTGTCCTGATACCACTGTAACGAATTTGGATCGGCCTCTGCGAAGGTCAACCAGGGTGAAGCAGGTGCCTGTTCGATTAATGGACTATCAGATGTGTAAGCCGTGACAGGCGAGCGTTTTGACATGGTGTGGCGAGGAGTTTGTCTTTGTGTTAGTGTTGCTGAGCGTAGTTTTGGCACGCTCAGTCTTGAGGGACGGTGAATGTTGTATATTTATGTTGTTGCATGTGCAGGCTGTGGCATGGTGTTGCATGTGCGTTGCATGGTTTATGAGCCTTCATTGAGGTTCATCGTTCATTACAGGCGTGTCCCATGTGACGTCATCTGCAGACCGTATCCAGTGACGTCCTTATGTGTCTATTTTCAGGGTCGGCCGGCGCCGGGAGATATTCATTCTGGTGACGTCACTGGTCGGGTTTCTGCTCGGCCTGTTTCACGTAACCAATGTAAGTGGCTGCCACCCGGTCTGAACGGAACATAACTATGTAATGCAGGTAACTAGGTTTATCTCATTCAGACTGGTTAGTGCAGGGCATTTCACTACAGGAGCAATGCTTCGTGACGTTCGTGTCTGATGAGATGAAGTGTTCTGCTTTAATGTGTCACTCATTTTGCACCGGTTATTAACTATCTAGGCTATTAACTATCTAAACCTACTGAATTAATCAAAACAGGGCGCGGCTTTTACTTTACTCTCACACTAAAAGAGAACGTCTCACTTCTTCGCATAGAGGTGGTTAAAATAGCATTGCCCAATGGCGAAAGTAGCACTCTAAAGGCCGCCCCACACTGGACCTCGCATGCGGGTTGCGAGTTATTGGGTTTTCGGGTTTCTTCAAAATCAAAGATTACAATCTAGGCTGAGTGACCCACACTACCATCTAACAAGCGAGTCTGCATGTTTTTAGCTTGCGAGCGACCTTGCATTGCATTCCAAAAGTTGATTTTGAGTCAACTTTCGATTTTCCTCGCTGCGAGGTGTGCGAGTTCTGCGAGGTTTGCGGGTTTTTCGTTGGAGTCGAATTTTGGTTTGTTGCGCTGGTATTACGACCATATGTAATTTTCTGAAGGTGTACCGGCTTCACTGCATTCATGAAGTTACTATAAGGGAACGGTCTAATCACTCTTTGAATTAGTATATGCCCGCAAACTAAAAACCTGCAAACCCGCAACCCGCATGCGAGTTCCAGTGTGGGGCGGCCTTAAGGAAGAAAAGGGCACCCCTTTCGACGGGTAAAATAATGGTAAAAAAGTTATCGCATGGCGAAAATTGTTGGGTAGCTGAGAGACGACGCTACAAAAGTGTTACGCATTTACTAACGTGTTGAGTTAACCCGCGCCCCACTGGGGGGGGCTATTTATAGCCCCCCCTCCCGTTTTTCTGCAATAACTTCCAAACCGCTTGACGTATCGACGCCAAACTTTCAGTACCTTCGGCTGCATCAATTTTACACCTTGTGTCAAAATTTTAACTTCGTAGCTACCATAGGTCGGCCGGAAATGACGTCAGAGTGACGTCATGTTCGGCCGATTTCGACGCAAAACATTGAACCACGGCAATCGCTCCCAAGAGCTCAGTTTTTAAGCTAGATCCAATTTCTTTGCATGAGAGGACTCAGAATAGACTGCGCTATCAAACTGCTATCTCGGATTTTCGAAATTTTGAAAATTTCGAAAATTTGATATAATAAAATCCAAAATTTATATTTTTACATTTTTTTCAAAAAGTTTTTGACTTTTCGAAAAAACCGGAATATATGTGATAGAACGCATTATTATGACTAACTGTAGCAAGTTTTAGCTAAATATCTTCAAAAATGGCTAAGTTTTACGCATTATTGCAAAAAATTCACAATTATTAATTTTTCAAATCAATTTTTCAGCACGTATTTGACATCGTACGCCAATATAAATAGCACCATCGTGTTCCTGAGCTCAAACTGCATCCAATAGACACCTTTTTTGTTGAAAATTTTTAACTTCAAAATTTGACCTTTTTTGACCTGAAAGTGACCTGACCTAAGCTAAATTCGACTCAAAATGACCTCGAATGACACAGACGACATCACATTCGAAATCTCTGGCATAAATGAACCATAAAACATGTGTCACGTGACCGACGCATGATATATTTTCGTGACCTGTGATGACCTGACCTTGACCTGAAAATCAAAGTACAAGTTTGGTACCCTCGGGGTATCTAGAGCATCTTTTCACGAGTGTGTGATCCAAAAATGAGCCTGATCTGACTTGTAAGACGGCGGCCAGAGCCCAAAACGCGAACAAGCAAAATGCTAATAATTTTTACTTTGACCTGACCTGTGACGTCATCGGTGACCTTGAGGTCAATGAAATTAGGTTTCGTTCGACAGTTTTTCCGGGGCTATCAGACACCGTTTGAATTTTGACGATCGGCCCAGTAGTTTCGGGGTTAGGAGGGGGGGCTATGAATAGCCCCCCCCCCAGTAGGGCGTGTTATACGCAGACCCCAGTGGGGCGCGGGTTAAAAGCTTATTGACCCAGTGAATAGGTGAGCTGTTAAGCCCAGGCACGCCTGTCCCACCGGGCGGCGTGTGTACGCGTGTATGAACGTGATAACACTGTGCCTCTGATGACGTCACAACTCACAAGGCGGTTTGTTGATGCCGTGTCCCAGATGTTCCATAGGGCGATGTGTACGTGTTCACGCTGTGTCTCTGATGACGTCACAGCGCGGTGTGTTGATGCCGTGTCCCGGATATTCCACAGGGCGGTGTGTACGTGTTCACACTGTTCGACTACTACTCGGCCTCGGGCATGGTGCTGCTGTGGTTCTGCTTCTTCGAGTGCGTGGCCGTCGCCTGGGTGTACGGCGGCGAGCGGTTCTACGACAACATACAGGGCATGGTGGGCTCCCGGCCCGGACCCTGGCTGAGGATCTGCTGGACCGTGCTGACACCGTTGCTCACAGCGGTAAGTGGCACTGACACAGTCACTGTCACACTGACATAGTGACACACTGACACTGACACACTGCCATAGTGACACACTGCCACTGCCACTGTCACATTGACATAGTGACACACTGCCACAGTCACTGTCACACTGACATAGTGACACACTGACACCTGCGCACTGCTCACACCGCTGCTAACTGCGGTAAGTCACTGACACTGACACACTCACATAGTGTCGTGACACACTGCCACTGTCACACTGCCATAGTGTTACACTGCCACAGACACTGTCACACTGACATAGTGACACACTGACACAGACACTGTCACACTGACATACTGACACTGACACCGTCACACTGCCATAGTGACACACTGACACTGACACACTGACATAGTGACACACTGACACAGTCACTGTCACACTGACATACACTGCCACAGTCACTGTCACACTCACATAGTGACACACTGACACTGACACACTGACACCTGCGCACTGCTCACACCGCTGGTCACTGCGGTAAGTCACTGACACTGACATAGTGACACACTGACACTGACACACTGACACCGCTGCTGACCGCGGTCAGGGTGACCTGACCGACCGGAGGATTGTACCCACTACCCCACCCCAGGCCGGTGCCTCGTAACCGAACGGTGTGCTCGGTCCACCCCCACCCCCGGCACCCCATGGGGTACATTCGTGATCTGACCGGCGCGGTATCCTTCCCCCAGGGTATATTCGGGTCCTACTCCTGTCTACTGACCGCTTCCCCCTCCAAAGGGTGCATACGTGTCCTGTCCTGTCTACTGACCGCTGCCCCCATAGGGTATATTTGTGTCCTGTCTACCGACCGCTGCACCCCCCCCCCCCCCCCCTAGGGTATATACGTGTCCTGTCTACTGACCGCTGCCCCAGGGTATATTTGTGTTCTGTCTACTGACCGCTCCCCCCCCTAGGGTATATTCGTGTTCTGTCTACTGACCGCTGCCCCCTCCCCCGGGGTATATTCGTGTCCTGTCTACTGACCGCTGCTCCCCCCAGGGGTATATTCGTGTCCTGTCTACTGACCGCTGCCCCCCTCCCCCAGGGTATATTCGTGTTCTCGCTGGTGACGCACACCCCGCTGAAGTACGACGGGTACGTGTACCCGCGGTACGCCGACGCCGTCGGCTGGATGCTGGCTCTGCTCTCCATGGTTACCATACCGGGCTACCTGGTCATCAGACTGGTACTGACACCTGGCGGCAGCCTCCTACAGGTGAGGGTACCATACCGGGCTACCTGGTCATCAGACTGGTACTGACACCTGGCGGCAGCCTCCTACAGGTGAGGGAGGGGTACCATACCGGGCTACCTGGTCAACAGACTGGTACTGACACCTGGCGGCAGTCTCCTACAGGTGAGGGTACCATACCGGGCTACCTGGTCATCAGACTGGTACTGACACGTGGCGGCAGCCTCCTACAGGTGAGGGTACCCCAGTAAACATGCCGACGTCGGCCCGACGTGGGCCGACGTCGGGGTGACGTCGGCAACTCGGCATCGGCATGTCGACGTCGGCCCGACGTCGGTCCAACCTCGGCACGACGTCGGCTGGATGTCGGATATGCCCGCATGTACCGACGTCCAGCCGAGGTCCAGCCGACGTCGGGCCGACGTCGGACCGAGATCAATTGCTGAGGTCCAGCCGACGTCGGGGCGACGTCAGACCGACATCGACCGCTGTAATGTAAAATACATGTTTCATGTTTCATAAAGAGCTTCTGTATTCAAAACATCCTCAGAAAAATCTAATCATCCTCCACGCCGCAACCCCCTGATCCGGACTGGACGGGAAACTTTATCCCATTTGGGATTGCCCGTAAGCCGAGCTCGCCCGTAGCCGGGTGCGGTGAGTGCTTGGGGGCTGCTCGGCCTATCCTTTGGTCAGGCTCAGCCCCGGCAACTCACCAGGGCCGGGCCCAGTTCAGATAGAAAGGCCAGTCGGCAAGTGTCACTTTGCCAAAGTGCCACTTATCAAAGGGAAACTTTGGGAAACGTTGGTGCAGGTGTGTAATAGTGGCTATATGAATCCATTGTGGGGTCGCCCTTTCCAATAAGTGTCACGTAACAGCAATGGGACCAGGGACTCTATATGAACTGGACCCAGGGTGCTCGTCAAGAAGACCAATGTTGATGTCTCCATCCTATCATCCTTCCGGCTCAGAAATGGTCTTGTCAGACCGAAAGGGCATAACCCAACAAAACAAACTAAATTGATTATCTGGCTGCGTGGTGTAGTGGTTAGCGCACTAACATCGCGTTCAAATGACACAGGGTTCGAATCCCATTGCCGGCTGATGCTTTTGGCGTGTTGTCCCAGTAAACATGCCGACGTCGGCGACTGGGGGGCTCGAATCCCGCCGCCGGTTGATATTTTTGGCGCGTTGTCCCAATAAAGATGCCGACGTCGGCCCCGTCGGTCCAACGACAAACGATCTCGTCAACATCGGCAAACGACCTCGGCCCGACGGTGGCTCGACGTCGGCTGGACTTCGGCTGGACGTCGGAACATGCGGGCATATCCGACGTCTAGCCGATGTCGGGCCGAGGTTGAACCGACGTTGGGCCGACGTCGGGCCGAGCCTCGGCCCGACGTCGGACCGACGTCGGCATGTTTACTGGGACCATACCGGGCTACCTGGTCATCAGACTGGTACTGACACCTGGCGGCAGCCTCCTACAGGTGAGGGTACCATACCGGGCTACCTGGTCATCAGACTGGTACTGACACCTGGCGGCAGCCTCCTACAGGTGAGGGTACCATACCGGGCTACCTGGTCATCAGACTGGTACTGACACCTGGCGGCAGTCTCCTACAGGTGAGGGTACCATACCGGGCTACCTGGTCATCAGACTGGTACTGACACCTGGCGGCAGCCTCCTACAGGTGAGGGTACCATACCGGGCTACCTGGTCATCAGACTGGTACTGACACCTGGCGGCAGTCTCCTACAGGTGAGGGTACCATACCGGGCTACCTGGTCATCAGACTGGTACTGACACCTGGCGGCAGCCTCCTACAGGTGAGGGAGGGTACCATACCGGGCTACCTGGTCATCAGACTGGTACTGACACCTGGCGGCAGCCTCCTACAGGTGAGGGTACCATACCGGGCTACCTGGTCATCAGACTGGTACTGACACCTGGCGGCAGTCTCCTACAGGTGAGGGTACCATACCGGGCTACCTGGTCATCAGACTGGTACTGACACCTGGCGGCAGCCTCCTACAGGTGAGGGTACCATACCGGGCTACCTGGTCATCAGACTGGTACTGACACCTGGCGGCAGTCTCCTACAGGTGAGGGTACCATACCGGGCTACCTGGTCATCAGACTGGTACTGACACCTGGCGGCAGCCTCCTTCAGGTGAGGGTACCATACCGGGCTACCTGGTCATCAGACTGGTACTGACACCTGGCGGCAGCCTCCTACAGGTGAGGATACCATACCGGGCTACCTGGTCATCAGACTGGTACTGACACCTGGCGGCAGCCTCCTTCAGGTGAGGGTACCATACCAGGCTACCTGGTCATCAGACTGGTACTGACACCTGGCGGCAGCCTCCTACAGGTGAGGGTACCATACCGGGCTACCTGGTCATCAGACTGGTACTGACACCTGGCGGCAGCCTCCTACAGGTGAGGGTACCATACCGGGCTACCTGGTCAACAGACTGGTACTGACACCTGGCGGCAGTCTCCTACAGGTGAGGGTACCATACCGGGCTACCTGGTCATCAGACTGGCACTGACACCTGGCGGCAGCCTCCTACAGGTGAGGGTACCATACCGGGCTACCTGGTCATCAGACTGGTACTGACACCTGGCGGCAGTCTCCTACAGGTGAGGGTACCATACACGGACGTATAAATAAACTGGACCCGCAACCACCTCCATTCAGGTGAAGCCGACAAGGCGCCATTTTACGTTGCCAAAAAGCCGTGCTGTGAAAGGTCATCGAACCAATACAATTGGAATTGCGTCTAAACGGATGTTCGGATCGAGATGCTGGTGGTACCGTTCGACGGGTAATGCTATGAGGCAGGTGATGATGCATGTCACAGGTCATTCGGTGTCACGTGGCGCGTGCCACGTGCCGACAAAGTCAGGAAGGGCAAAAACCTTTAAGCGACGCTCCCAATTAAACGGTGGGCGGCACAGGTGCCAAATTCACAGGCCACATGTCCCGGTGTTTGACCATTAACATATGGTATGCTCGGCAGCAGGGGGTGCGGAATGCACGCGCCAGGGGCGAAAAACATGTTTTGAGGAGGCATCCTCCGATTCCGGAAAACCTTGACCTAGGTACACCAAATTTGGACACTGACACGACTGGACGAGCGCTTTAAGGCGCTGTACAAATAGATGTGCTGGGGTACACGGTGCACGTGCTGTGCACGTGCAAAACTTTTGACGTTGCGCTCTGTGTCACATATACGGCAGAGCGGGTAGCGCTAGCAAGCTCAAAGTGCCAAATTTACACAGGCCATCTAGAATGCATTCCCGCATAGTTATTGAGCATATCCATCTCCTGGTGGACCCCGAAGGTGCGCTCTGCACGTGCAAAAAATTGTCCGCGCCGGGCGGTGGGGATGCTTGGACACCCCATGTGGATTGATGTAAATATCTCCATCCATAGTAGATCAACCACCACTGATGGCGTCGTAACATGCTACGAAGGCTCTAAAACTATAACTTCTTTAATGTTAAACTGAATGCTAAATTCGAAATCAGCTCCAAAAATTGTCCTTGGAACATGTAAAACTGGAAAAGGTGAACCAAGGTCATTAAAGGTCAGTGACCTTGACCTAATTTTCACGTGACCTTGACACCCACACTGTCCCACCATATTGCATGTGACCAACATTATATCACATGTTTGAACGCTTGAAACCACGAAAAGACAGCAAACGCGCGGCTAGTGCGCGCCGACATACGCCGAATCGCGATTCCGGCCAAACATGGTCTCGTAATAATAACTTAATATCAGATGCTGATTTACCGCTACTCAGTCAAGTTAGAACCATTTCTTGGCCGCGGTCACCGGTCCAGGCCACCACATAGGTAATCGTATTACACCGCGCCTGCTCAATGCTCAGCTCGTATTGTAAGAGCACTGCGGCACAGCATAGATGCAGGCGCTCTACTACTGCCATCTATGGGTGAAAGATGAAGATAATGGTTATTGCGGTACAGTATCCTGTATCACTACAGGCGCAAACAACGTGGAAACAAAGATGCCTATGCTGCGCTACCGGGCAATGGATGGTAGCGTAAATTTGCGTTGATGGGTAGCTAAAAGTTTTGGAGCCCGAATTAACGTAACCTGATGACCTAGCCTTGAGTGACCTAAGTCTGAAAGCTACGCAGCATGTGTGAAAAAGATGTATGAAAAGGTGTGCCAAAAACGGCGGCGCTACACAACGCCGTTTTCGAGATATTTACATCAATCCACATGGGGTGTCCAAGCATCCCCACCGCCCGGCGCAGACAATTATTTGCACGTGCAGAGCGCACCTTCGGGGTTCACCAGGAGATGAATATGCTCAATAACTATGCGGGAATGCATTCTGGATGGCCTGTGTAAATTTGGTACTTTGAGCTTGCTAGCGCTACCCGCTAGCTGCCGTATATGTGACACAGAGTGCAACGTCAAAAGGTTTGCACGTGCACAGCACGTGCACCGTGTACCCCAGCACATCTATTTGTACAGCGCCTTAACCCTATTCCTGGCGGGCTCCGCCGGGACAAGAAACTGGCGGGGGGGGGGGGGCCGATTCGGCCCCCCCCTGAGATCTCGAGAACGAAGCAAGATAGCGACAAGCGGTAAACGGCATCGGATACGCACGGCCAAAATCTACAATTTTTACTAAGGTCATTTTCAGGTCAGGTCAAAGATGACGTCACAGGAGTCGAAAAAGTCAAAATGGCGGCACTAGATATGGAGAGAGTTTTTCTCGAATAACTTTCGAATTAGTCAAGATAGGAACAAACTAAGGGCATCATCGTGATCCTCTCGTCAATCCGCATCGAATGATATATATGTTGACCTCGAAAGGTCAAGGTCAAAGGTTGACCTCAGGTCACGTGACCTCGAGGTCATCATGTATATCATTCGATGCGTCTTGACGAGCTGAACACAATGAGACCATCCACGCGTCTGTATCTTGTTCCTGTACGGAGTTATTGGCCAAAAACCTTTGGTGACCTTTGATG